CAAGCCAAAAACAGGGAAAGGAACGCCGCAGAAAGTTTCCGGAGTAGCTCCCAAAACCACAGCCACTGCCGTGGAGGGCTCCAAAAATCAAAGCGAGGCAAGACGCTCGAGCACTGCGAAGCCAGCAACGGGAAACAACGGCAGCCCGACTGTTTCGAAGGCAAAGGCAAAGATTGCGCCGCGGCCACCTATTGCTCAACCTGAGCGCTCCACGTCTACAGGGTATCAAGGGACGGCCAGAAAGCTGCCCGCCAGGCCATTAAGTAGCGACCCTACTCTAGCATCAAAGCCGCTGAACGCAAGTCGAGTTGGAGCCTCATCCTCAAGCCGGACGGCGGGCGACATTGGGAAGGGCTTCCTAACCGCGAAGAAAACGACAGTAAACAAGCGGCCCACTTCTAATATATTTTCTGGTGGAAAAGTTAGAAAGACTCGAGTTACCCTCACGGAAGCCATGTCCGATACCTCCAAGGAGCCGAAACTCTTTGGAAACTTTCGAACTCGCAGACTAGCCGAGAAGAGAGGGCGAGAAAAGGAAGATCTCGCACCTCCCGATGCTTCAACTTTACATGTGTTTGCCATTCCGAAGGGTCCAGTTTCGTCGAAGACGTCGATTGATACGGTCCTAAGTCCCATCCAGCAAGAATCGCCATTGGAAGCCACTTCTGCGATTGCTTCGCCCGACGCACTTCTAAAAAAGAAACGCAAATCATCCGCCAAGTCAGTTCGTTTCTTGGACGATGACCCTGAAACCAGTCCGATCATTGTGCAGGAGCCAGAACCAATGGACGTCGACTCGCCCGAGAATATCGCGCCATCTCCAGCCAAGGAGTTGCCGGCGTCTGCTCCGCCTGCTGTTGAGAATATCGGTCCCAAGAAACTTTCTCTTGCTGCATACCGTAGTAAGGTGTTGACACAGAGCTTGGAGAAAAATCTGGTTCTGGGACGGTCTGCAGCCCTGAAGGTGAACTTCGATAGTCTGCCACGAGATCCGCCTCAAGCGTGGCTTTCTCATTTTATGGCCAAAGACACCCTCGAATTTCAATATACATGTTTTGCTAAAACGATGATCATGAAATTTGACATCCTGGTACAAAATCATCTAGCCGAAGGAACAATAACGTCAGAAGCCAATGCACCAGTTCTTGAAGACGCTGCTGAGTATCTGAGATCAGACTTGCTCGGGTTCTTCTATACCCAGTCTGAGTACAGTATTCTTATATATCCGACCAAATGCGATGAGTGGAGGACCGAGTCGTTGAGTCAGGAGCCAACGAGTCCTTCTGGATCACCCATTGCACTTCGCTATCTGATATTTAGTTCAGCATTCGATTGTGGAAGTATGCTCCGCCCATTCGCGTTTCTTCCACCAGTCGAGAAGGTTGCTCCAAAGACAGCCGTGGTCACAGCGTCAGCTCGGGAGATAGTCATGAAGCGATTCTTCAAATTCGATTACACTCAGCTTCTCCCCGCCTATCCGAAGCAGCCTCCGGTTCACCTGTTTTTCCTGGCATTCCCCAGATCAAAGCAATCTACTCTCTTAGCAGTGAATCACTGGCTCAAGGCCTGCAATCCCGATTGTCATATATTTACTAGCTGCCATGCTGGTGGTTGGGCTGCATTCTGTGCTGGTGTCGAGCAGATGCCAGGAGTCGTAATTGTTCACGAGGCGCTTGCTTGGAGCTTGCACCGGTTCCCAAAACTCAGCGAGCGTCTGATCCACAAGCACGACCAGTACTGGTGCCTGTCTGAGCCGAGTCAACCCTACCCCATATACCCCTCCATATCAGTGCCAGAGAGTCCGGCAGCTCCAGGAGATCTCAGTCTCACACGGCTCTTCCCTTATCGCACGGCTATTCTCCTGACGCCGGGTTTTTTGGTCTCTGAACCTCAGCGTGCTTGCCAATTCTTGGACTGGTTCCTGACGTCGTGGGCCAAGTCCTCCACTCACAGGTTGGTGACGGCATGGAATATCCATGAGTACTTGCTGGGCTTGGCCATGGAGAAAGCGAAGGCGCGAGACGACATATTTGAAAGCGATGAAGGCACGCCGATCGATCATCAACTTGCGGCGAATCTTCATGGAGTCAGCCACACGGACTGTAATGCCCGATTCAAATCCACCATCTTCGCTACGGAACTGCACAATCTTAAACTGTCGAGAGCGGGCCCGTTTGGAGCGGACGACGACAACTGCTCGCTGATCTACGCAGACCAGTGCATCGATCCGAACGACGAACAGAGCCTCGTCAACTGGTTTGGATGGTGGTCCACCTTGAGAGCTGATCAATACCAAAAGTTTCACGTAGTTGGCTCGAGCAGGGGAATCAAAATACCCGGCCGCAAGAGTGGCGATCGAATTATCCCCATTCCAAGATACACACAGGTTACATTGAATGATCCCGACGTCGTTCTTGAGACAGTCCAGAGCAAGGACGATCCAATCGATCAGCCTGACGCCGCCAATGGCAGCCATTCGAACCCCGCGACTCCCGCACAAGAAGGGAACGGGGAGAAGACAAACCAGACAACCAAACCTCCGTGGTCTTTTCAGAGTAATCTGATCGCCTCTGAGAATAGCCAAGACATCACGGATTTTCTCAATCGCGCCTCCGATGTCTCCGATGTCTCCGACAATTTCAAGTTTTTGAATTGGACACTATACAAATTCCCCATCTCGTGGGCCGATACGACGATGGGCGACCACTATGGCGATTTCTCGCAGCATTACCGAAAAATCAATGACTGGTTTAGCTTTCCCTGGTCGTGGGTAGACCTGAGGCATCCTAAGAGCTCTCGGGCCTTCAATACGTACATTGGGTTCTTCTACACCGTTGCTGAGGATTGGGATCCACGGAAACCTCCACCAGACCGAAAGCCTAAACGGCACCCGTGGCTTGCAATCTACCGCCCAGTGAACCCTCATAACAGGCCGTACAGCCGATGCGAGATCATTATCTGGGATCCTGCTGCAAAAACAAGGTTTCCTGGTAACCAAGCGCCAGTTGAATCAGGTTTCCTCGATATGCAACGCCGGGTTATTCAACATGCGCGAAATTTTGGCTCACAGAAGAATCCCGGAACCTGGATTGATCAAGTATGGCTTGGGGGTTTCGAATTTCCTGAAGAATGCGAGTCGCCGCACCCCATCGATATGACTTTAAAATTCCTCTACCTCCTATTAAGAGATATTAAGACGTATCTTCCGGCACCAGACAACCAGATGCCCAGCCGAGGCTGGAAGAAAGTGGTGACTGAGAAGCCTAGTAGCGGCTCAATCAGAGAAGATCTCAAGGAGGCCATGGACATCGACAGCGAGAAAGACGACGAGTCGGAAGACGAGAACACGCGCATCATTTTTCATCCGCCTCGTGCTACGAAACTAGCGCCTGGCCAGCGATCAAAGTGCATAAACAAGCTTTACGAAGATGCTCGCCTAGCAAAAGCCCGCGCCAAATCTGCAACGCATATGCTATACAGCTTCACGCCCACATTGGAGTGGTACGAGGAGCAGCGCGCAGAGGGACGAAGCTTTGAGCACGTCAACGTCGAGTCTTGGGAAAACATATTCAACTACTATCACATCGGGACAGAGTCCGAACGTCAAGATTGGAAAGCGTCTGTTTAGAAATCAACGTCGCCCAGATCTTCGAAGTCGCTTCCGATCATGCCGAAGCCATAAGTATCTCGACGGCCTACTCTCGTGTCACCGTCGAACTCGGGAAGAGTGAAAGATCTCGCTCCAGCTCCTCAGGGCTGTCGACAAAATCTGGGGGCTCGATGGGCTTTTTCATCTTTGAAAATCACGCCCTGCCATCAGACAGCCCGCAGTTTTTTGACCGATTGATAACAAATACGAACATGGGGGAAGCATTATGATGTGATAGAAAGGGGAAACCATGTTCCTCACAGTCGTTGGCCATGAGGAATGTAGAGGAATGACCATTACAAAATATCAGGTTTAGGTGTATATTTCATGATGAGGTGGAGGGTTGTCTATATTGCTCAGCAGCCGGCATATAATGGGATAATAAGGCTGGCTGGGCACCATGTATCATGATGTCTATTTCTCCGACATGAAAAAAGTTGTGGATCGTATAAATTACTAAGCAGGCATAATGCCCGCGTTAATCCACCCGCTACCTTCCAATGACATGTATTTGATCACTAGTTCCCCAGATGAAATGCTAGTGTTTATCTTCGTTCCATTCGAAGAATATAGGACTTGCAGCATAGAGGCCGTTGGTGACCTGCTGGGTGCAATTGCCTAGCAGAAGGAAAGGATTGTAAGATAAATTATTACTTCTACTGTGGTTATTGCCGACAGCTTTTAGTCGCTTTTTGTATCATACATTTGACTCTTTACTCTGGTATTCAATTTAACTTCTATGAATACTGATCTACATGCTTGTTTGACTCGAACTGAGGCATGTGTATATACACTTCTGCGAGTTGCGCACTACTATGCGTGTTGAGGAGTGTGGGTCTCAACAGAAGCTTATTTGGAGTCGTGAAGATAGATAGCTATAACATCATGCTTTATAATCTTACTACCGGCTCAAAGCAGCTCGAAACTATAGTTGGACTAATAGGGCGTGAGGGAGTATTAGAACTCTTTTTCTAGTTTCTTCTTCTTTGTTTCTCCGGCAGAATGAGTGGTGGTGGGCTTGATGCCAACCTTGATTTATCCCAGCATAAACCTTGATCTGAAAGAAACCTCGCTGTTATAATGTTGTACACCCGCTTAAAGGTTCACTCTCGTAGCAAAACATCACCGACAGAGTCATAGACCACGACAACTTACCTGCCACAAATTTAGGACGAGTCTCAAATTCTAGAAACCTGTCCTCATGAACAAGGAGCTAGCAGTACCAATCTAAGTTTGAATGGTCAAAAGGTCCCAAGGTAGAGTTCCGCAATGAGGAGCTCTAGGGACCGGCACCTATCAGCTCCTAACTCGCTCCGACACTCCATCGAAGCACCCAAAGCCTCGGCATTCAGCCTGCATAGCTCAGGGGTAGAGCGTGTCACTCGTAATCAACTACAGATTCCATGACAAGGCCATCGGTTCAATTCCGATTGTAGGCATTCAACTACTGTTTTTGATTTCTTCTCTCATTTTTCTCCTCGTATTCTTTTTTTGGGCTTTTCCGGAAAAATTCCCCCAGAAATTCCACGGGTCCGTCTCCACCATCTTGGCTCCTGATCTCCGCTGGAGCGGCCCGGCACTGCATGATAATGCCGCAGTCTGCTCCATGTTTTCAACAATTCAACAAGCCTGCGTAGCTTAGGGGTAGAGCATTGGTCTCATATAAAGTATGATCTTGAGTTTCAACTCGAGAGACATCCAAGTACGACGGTTCGATTCCGCCCGCGGGCAAGTCTTTTTTTCTTCTGCTCTCTCGAGCCTTTCCTACTCGGGTATCTCGCCACATGGGATAAACAAAATAAACTGCAGACCCTATCTCTTTATTCTCTGTATTCTGCATGGCTTAAACAACAGGGCGAGTTGGATCCCGAAGTGAGGGTAAACGGGACAACGGACACATCCTGCTACGTTCTTTTCCAGTTCATTTTGCCTTTATTGGAGTTCGGCTTATTTTAGCACTTTTGCTGTTTCGGGTACGGTACACACCGATTGTGTCTCACTGTGATTTTGTCCTACGATATGTGTCTGCTACGATTGTCACAGTGTCGTTGAGCTCAGTGGGATGGTAGGTGATACCACGATGTGTTGCTCACTGACACTCAGCCGTGACATCCATGGCTGAGTGCACGGGCGGCTGCTGTACTTGTGGATACTGCAGAGATTTATACCAGGATATCCTTGAGCTATTGATCACTCCCACCTAGATTTGAGATAAAGTTGCATATCTATCTAACACTTTGCTTCGCTTGCTCAATCAGTAAGAAAGTACCTAGGTTCTAGCACGTAGAGTTTCCAGCTCCCAACAACCTTTACCATTGGTTGGGGAGGAATGCACAACCTCCCCATCGGATTAACTTACGAGGTAGGAAAAAGCGGCAAGTAAAAACAACATAAAGTACATACAACACCAGGGATTCGCTGGTGGTCACCCACCCAACTACTAGTCTGGCGGTCGTCGGGTTATCTAGGGGAGAGCGGACGGGATCCCGAGTTCTCCAACGCCTATGGTCGTATGTGGCGGACAGAGTGTGGTTCTTTGGCTATGTGGTCCTGGCGAACTTGGAGTTGACATTATGACAAAACTCAAGTTTTCATGGAGCATTCCAAGGTCTTATTTGATGTTTCATCAATGATTACACGACAGGAAAGAGTGATGTTAATAAAGAAGCCGGTCATGGCGGTGCTTGCTATCAGCTAGTAACGGGGCTTGACGTGTCCCGGAAGAGCACATTGAGCTTCTCGAAAACACAGACATGTGCAAGGAAAAAACAGTAATTCATAATGAGACAACAGAGGACACATGAGTGCTCTTCAGTATTCTTCATTGTTGGACAGCTGCGTCCATATCACGATCTGCGTTTCAACGAGGAGGTTCTCTCCTACGATAGACAAAGTCGCTGACATATTGCTTCTTCATCTCGTAGGCATTTATTCACAAGCGACTTCAACCGTCTCCTTGGGGTTAGGGTTATGCCACGCCGTGGCCGGTGCCGATAAGATAAGACAAGACCCCCCACCCCAATTGACTTTACCCCTCTGCTCAACGACAAACCCATCCTTCGATGGACGAGAACGTCGGTAATATAAAAAGCAAGGTGTGGATTCATCCAAACTTACTCCTTAGATCCATTATCTGGCGCATCTCTCTCTAACGTTTTGCTTCAAACCAACCAAGGGACGATTTCAACACTACAAAACGATACGCAGCACGACCGGCAGAGATATAACTACATACAATCCGACATCATGGCGTCCCACTCCCACTCCCACTCCCACTCCCACTCCCACGATGGCATCCACTCGCACTCACACGATCACGACCGTGGTCAACCCACAGCGAAAGAGCTCGCAGCTATCGAGCACGGCCACAGCCATGAGATTCTCGACGGGCCAGGGAGTTACCTGGGGCGGGAGATGCCCATCGTAGAGGGGCGGAACTGGGCTGACCGGGCCTTCACAGTTGGCATTGGCGGGTATGTTTTTCTTTCCCTTTTACTACCTATATATATATATATAAATACCTTTAAACCAAGCCACACCCACGTAAACTAAAATAACCAACCACCCTTCCTTGTCAAATAGACCAGTCGGATCCGGAAAAACCGCCCTCATGCTAGCTCTCTGCCTGGCGCTACGAGACCAAGTCTCGCTAGCCGCTGTAACCAACGACATCTTCACGCGCGAAGACGCCGAGTTCCTGACCCGCAAGCTCGCCCTTCCAGCGGAGCGCATCCGCGCCATAGAAACGGGCGGGTGCCCACACGCGGCGGTGCGCGAGGACATCAGCGCGAACCTAGCGGCCCTGGAGGACCTGCACCAGAAGTTCGACACGGATCTCCTCCTGATCGAGAGCGGGGGAGACAATCTGGCGGCCAACTACAGCCGCGAGCTGGCCGACTTCATCATCTACGTGATCGACGTCAGCGGAGGGGACAAGATCCCCCGCAAGGGCGGGCCGGGCATCACGCAGAGCGACCTGCTGGTGGTGAACAAGACCGACTTGGCCGAAGCGGTGGGCGCCGACTTGGATGTAATGGAGCGGGACGCGCGCAAGATGCGCGACGGCGGGCCGACCGTGTTCGCCCAGGTTAAGAAGGGCGTAGCGGTGAACCATATCGTGACGTTGATTCTGAGTGCGTGGAAAGCGAGCGGCGCCGAGGAGGCGCGCAGGCAGGTGGGCGGGCCAAGGAGCACGCCATTGGATGGATTGCTCGGCACTTCAGACACACCGCTGAACTGCTAGGGACGAAGAAAAAAGAATCCAATATATGTGAATATAATATCAAGAACGCCCCATATTTGTGTCCTCTTGGGGGACCGATGGGGGTTGTGCCTGCGAGAACGTGATAAGACACAACCCCACGCTTACATCGTAAAGGGAAGCCCAATCACTCGAAGCCCCATATACCCGAAACAACCGATGTAGTATCATTTTCCTCGTCGCCAATCATAAAGCCGTCTCAGCAAGCAAGTCTATAAGAAGCCCAGTCCGTCTATTGAATCTCCGCATCCATTGCCTCCGGCTGGGTCTCTTGCGCAACCTCGGCCACGCGGGGCAAGCCGCTGAGCAGCGTCGCATTGCGGGGCCATACGCGCTTATACAAGCTGACACCAACGGAGTCTTGCGGGTTGATGCGTTCATCAAAGGTAGCCTTGAAATAACCATGCGTACCCAGGGGCTCCTTGATATGGCCGGATCGGCCTCTCTTGGTCCAGAGCGGCAGTGCCTTGAACCATTCCACATCCTCACGGTTGAAGAACATGTAGCGGATCGTGACAATCTTCTTGTGGATGTGATAGGGGTGGCCAGTGAGAACAGCTCTCTTTGCGATGACACGGGTTGTCGAAGGGGGGAGTGCTGTTCCTGTGGCAACAAGGGTCAGAGGAAGGTTGGATTGCTCCTCCTCGTCGCCTTCGCCCTCGGAGGGAATTGTCCTTTTGTAGAAGAGTGCCGGCACGGCGCCCCATGTGACGGGTGCGACAAAGGTCGCCACGGCAGATTGACCAGGATGCAAAAAGCGGCAGTACTTGTGCACATCGTTGGGTGTATTTCCGCCTTGCGAAAACAAGGGGTTGATGACGAAGCGGCGTGGGCCGCACTGCATGATCAGCTCCTCCTTCGACTTGATCGACCTTGGAAAGTCCGATGCGAGGTTGATAAGGAAATTCACAGCAGTCTGCTTGTTTTCGTGTCTCAGAAGAGAGAATAATGTGGCGGGCTGGCTGGGGTTGTAAGTCTCCTTGATCATAGACGGCACGGCCTCGAGGTGGATATGGACGCGGGTTCCAGGGGTTACACCGCCCACAAGGGCTTCGCGAGCACACCTGATCCGAGATGCCTGGTAGTCTGGAATCCGCAACAAGCGTTCCCAGTCCTCTGGCCGATGTGCGCGGTCTTCATCCTCCTGCCAAGGGCTCGACCTCAAGCTCTTTAGGCCCCGGTACTTCAGCAACCGTTCTCGAGCAGAAACATTAGGGTGGAGCTCAATCTCGTCGGGGAACTCCATGTCTTCTTCAGCATCACCCCGCTTCTTCTTTCGGAAAGCTGCAAGCTCCATCTCTTCCTCATCATCGTCAAGCTCGACGAATTTCTCAGACTTTGAATACTCAGAGGGGCCACCATAGTCCGTCTGCGTTTCTCTTGGAGCGTGACCCTCAAGACCATCTTCTGGTCGCGCAGCATCTTCCTCGTTGGCATCCTGCATATCGTGGTCTTCGAGGTCGGAGCCCGAGTCGGACACGTCGTCGTTCAGGTACCATGCGGCTTGGTACGAAGAGGTGCCCTGGGGCAGTTTCCTCACTCGCTTAGATTCGTCATCGTCATCGGAGAAGTAGTGGTGTTCGTCCAGTAACACGCCCTTCTTTGGTGCAGGCGCAGTTGTAGTGTCATCCGAATCCATCTCCTCATCTCTAGCGTCTTCCATGAAGACCTCCTCAGGCGCAAGGCCGTCAAGATCATCACGGTCCTCGGTTGGCACATCAAGCGTCTCCTCGACTGCGGCCTCATCCATGGAAGTATCTCCCTTCTTTGGTGTTGGAAGCGGCGCGGCGGTGATTTTCTCAATTTGGAAGGTGCCCCAGTCACCGATTTGAACTAGGCGGTCCGCCTTCAGACCCTTGCCCCTGACAACACCTGTGAGAACGGTCAATTCAGACCGCGAGGCAGCGAACTTGACGTCCTCTACAAGCATCCAGCTCCGCTCGTCCCGCCATCGAATGCCCTTGGGTGTTGTGTTGCAGAGTGACCGCATGAGGTTAGAGCATTCCTGTCTGTTGTCGAGGCTATAGACCTTCTCCTGTTCGGGGTGAAAATGTGTGATGAATGATTTGAGCGATGCCAGCACAGAAAGGCGCTGCTTTGGAAGGTCAATCTTGTTGAGGTTCTGAACCACGGTGAACAGGGTCGACAGGCCCTGGCTCTCGATGCTTCGAATAATCAGCTCTCCCAGCTCATCCACCTCGTCTTCGGCTGAGAGAACCAAGACCACAAAGTCGGCAACCCGGGCAGCATCCAGACACGCAGTGAGGTCCCGCTGTAGGGGCATGTACTGCAGCTTCTGCTTGAATCGGTCTACGGTGACACGGAAGCAGCCGCTGGCTGGCACCTCGGCCTCGAGGTCGATGCTCTCGTTCAGGCTCTTGATTGCGGCAACAGCGTCTCCGTCGCTGCACAGGGGAATGACTGCAACATTCTTGGGGGCACCGTCTCTGCCGGCAAAGACCGATGTTTC